ATTATAGGTTTTTACCAGTTTTTGCCCAAGAAAGGAATTTTCTAAAGTCAAAAATTGTGCATTAAGTTACCTTTCAATCTTTGAAACCACATAGATCTACATATTTCAACAAACATTTTCAAGAATGAAATACCTGAAGAACAATTTGAGAACAAACGTGTCCGATAATAATCTCAGGTCACTGGTAATATTAGGGACATCAAAACTAAAGCCAGAAATGTCAACTATTTTGGCCTCCAGGAAACATTTCACCATTTCCATAATACAGGAGTTCATGTGTAGTGTATCAATGTGTTATTAAATAAAACTTGAATTTAAAAAAAAATAAATAAATAAATAATTAAAAACAGCATCCATTTTATATTCTTTTTTTCTTGGACCTCCAGTGTGTATTCGGCCCCCGAACTTCTAATTGATAGTTAATGGGGCCCTCGGGATGAAAATTTTGGAGACCCCTGAGAAAAGTAATGAAAATTTTCAGTAGTCAATGTCTAGATATTAAATGTTTTAGGCTTTGAATGTTCAAAATAATGATTTCCTGGGCAGTTAATGTTCTAGGTACTGCATATCTTGGACAGTTAATGTTCTAGGTACTGCATATCCTGAGCAGTTAATGTTCTAGGTACTGCATATCCTGGGCAGTTAATGTTCTACTTACTGCATATCCTGGGCAGTTAATGTTCTAGGTACTGCATATCCTGGACAATTAATGTTCTAGGTACTGCATATCCTAGGCAGTTAATGTTCTAGGTACTGCATCATCTGGACAGTTAATGTTCTAGGTACTGCATATCCTAGGCAGGTATGGAATATCTTAGGCAGTCAATGGTCTATTTATTGAATTTTCTAACATAATTATGATAACGAATTCCACCCCTTGAATCGAAACTGACGAAATATGGCAATATAAGACTTGCAAAACCTTTCCGAAACAAGTACGTAGATGAGAAAATTGCCTGAAGCGTTCAAAGTATCAAGAAAATCTATTCAGAATCACAGAACAATGTACAGATTGGAAAGGAACATGAAGTTGTGAATGAAGTAGATGTGAAATATTATTTACAGTTATCGCTTGTTTCTTATAGTTACTAATTCGTCACTACCCAACAGTTAAAATATATAAAAAAAATACAACCACATCAGTAGATAGCAGGTACATTGATTACAATGTCATGAAAATTTCTTGCACAATTTTCCGACTAAACATAAATTTGATATCTCTCCCATTTTTTTACATTTTAATTTTCATTTTACTTTAAACATTCAAATGTAAATATTTTCATCCTTTTGAAAAACTTAAAGGAAAAAGATATGAAAAAGTATAATAAATCTCAAATTTTTTAAATGTTAACAATTACATTTTAATAATTAAAATAATCACGATTATTCATTTGAAAAAAAAACAACATCCAAATATAAATAAAAAATGGTAAGTCAGTAATAGATTCGCCCCCTTCCTCACGGGAAGTGTTTCTTTCAGACATTTTTTGCCGGGGGGGGGGCACTTTAATTTTAAAAAATTGTGGGGGGAGCTGTGCCAGTTCCCAGTGGCCAGAGCCGTAGCCAAAGGGGCAGATGGGGGAATATTGCCCCGGGTTTCAGACTAGTGGGGGGCTAAATGGGCTTTGATGCCATTTAATGGTTGAAAGTGGGGGGGGGGGCTTAAAAATGAATTTTGTACCTTGACACAAAACAGTGTATATACGCACCTGCTAGAGGCGTCGAAATAAGGTGTCAAAATCAAGCGGTGTATTTTTGAGTCTTTATTTTACTTTTTTAACTGGGAAGACTTTTTTAAGGTTTTGCTGGAGTGTCAAATTTAGCCATAATAATGATCAAAGACATCTTCAATTCGGCCCCAGTGAGACGTAAACTAAATTCATTCTACTTGTGCCACCCTTGAACTATACACTCAGATACATTAACTTAAAACTAAAATTTGGCAAGAAGAGAAAACTCCAGCAGAATAGGAAACGGCATTAGTAACCCAAATACACAAGAAATGCTCCAAACTTCAGTGCACAAACTACAGGGGAATCTCCTCATTAAATGTTTCATACAAAATAATGACGAAGCTAATTGCCAAAAGACTAAAACCGTACACTGAAGAAATACTAGATGATTACCAATGTGGATTCAGGCAAAACAAACCAAAGACGCATCAGATTTAGAGAAATGTTATAAATATAATATCCCAGTACACCAACTCTATGTGAAATATAAAATGGCCAATGACAGCACCAAAAGAAAATATCTTTATGCGATTCTGCAGGAGTTTGGCAGATTCACAAACTGACAAGACTGATACATGTAATACTGAACAGCGCAAAAAGCATTATCACGTGTCTTAGAGAATATTCAAGGGAATTTCAGATTAGTCGAGGCCTAAGACAAGGACACTCACTGTATGGCATGCTATTTAACCTAACATTAGAGAGCGTAATAAGAAGTATAAATATGGACTTCCGAGGAACAAAAACAGGATACTTTATCATGGAAACCCAAGACCCACAACCAATGGGCACTCTCGACAAAAAACACCTTAATTATCTTGCATATGCTGATGACATAGTTCTTCTAGAGAAAAGTATTAGACAAAATCCTTTATTGCAGGCCTGCACAACTCAAAATGTAAGGCGGGCCGTAATACTTTGTGAAAAACTTGTGCGGGCCATAAAAAAATAGGATGGGGGCAAAGCTGTTACATGAATAATAAGAAAAATAATATTTTGTTACTTCGCGTGCCGCTAGGTGGCTGCTGGCCTGCTTTATTGAATTAGTAGATGCATCACTACCAGAAGGGCTGGAATGAACAACCAAAAACAAAATACATGACTATGATAAGAGAAGAACAGACAGATTAAGCCAATAAAATTAGAAACCACACGTTTGAAAAATTAAATCAATTCAAATACCTAGGATCTTTATTAAATGAAAGAAACAAACTACTTGCAGAAATAAAAGAAAGAATATCAGCCGGAAACAGGGCATACTTCAGTTGTCAGAAAATACTCAAAAGTAAAAACATTACAAGAGAAACAAAGAAAACTATTTATAAAAATGTAATCAGATCAGTTGTAACATACGCAAGTGAAACTTGGACCCTAACAAAAACAGCAGAAAACCTATTAAACTTATGGGAGAGAAACGTTTTCAGGAAAATACATGGACCAAGAAAGGATGAATATGGATGGAGAATACGAACCAACCAGGAATTGTACAGTTTATATCAGGAACCACGATAATAGAAATAACAAAGGGCAGGCTACGCTGGGGAGGACACTTAGAGAAAATGCCATATGACAGAGGAGTGAAGAGGGTGCATCACCAACACCTCCTCCCCCCTCCCCCAGGAGATTATGCATGAAAGAAACCCTGCACACATGTCAATACATGTCAATGTATGCACTTTTTCCCATGCGTTCTAATTTTCAACGTGCACATGATGATAATCTTCTCCTTTCAAATCATTGTGCATCATTATTATTTAGTGTTGACCAGCAAATATCACCATCCCTAGACAGTTGAATAACTTTTGGTTTCACATCTCTAATCTAATTTGTGTTACAATTCTACAGGAAGAGTATCCAATCAGTCTGTCCTTCTCAACTCAGTTGATATCCCATAAAGATATACCTTGATCTAAACATTTAAAGTCATAATTAAACTTTGCCCCTGATTTCTCTTTTTTTTTTCTTTTTTTTTTTTGCCAATCCAATACTAAATTTGAGGTTCCTCTTTGCTTTCACATTCCCAAACTTGCCTGACTGAACATTTAACAGTAAGAAAACAAAGCGCACTCAACCATCTAACTATCTCTCCCACCTTCCCCCACACCAGCTATGTGGTCGGGGATTATAAGTACATTAATCGAAAAGATAAATTTTAAAAACATTATAAAATGACATTTTAGCCATTTATATGGACACATTTTAATGAACAGCAAATTCACAAGAACTTTCCAAAACGATATGTGTAATTCAATCATAAAGAATTTATATTTATTTGAATTAATAAAAGCCTCGTATCTTATCCTATCTTATCTTATCTTATCTTATCTTATTTGTTTACCTTTAAGTTGCCTATATTTGTATCAACCTTTCCTTCTTTCCCCTAATGTCTGCATCTTCTTGAACATATAAACACTTCATTCCTTCCCCTTCCGTCGTGCACAAACATTGCGTTGTCCTGGTTGCCCTCGGTAGTGATTATATTGATTTGTCCGGTTGAGGGCAGCTCGTCCAATACAAAGACGAGGGATCAAAATAAAACAGATCACGTGGCGATCATGGTATGACCATTTAAAAAAGAAAAGAGAGAGAGAGAGAAAGAGAGAGATCTGCTGCAATAAATAACGCTGCCCCGTCTTGAGTTACGTTTGCACTTGTCTGAACGCATTTCTTTCTTGCATTAAGGTTGGAGGTGACACGAGTAGCTCAGAAGACGCCAAGATAATGGTTTGGAAGGTTGGCTGAGCTGTGTTACTTGTTAATAGAGTTAAACTTAAAGGAATTACTTTGTTTTAGCTATTGTTTTTTTTTAAAATGCACTCGCACCAATACCTCTCATTTGCCTTTGCCTTCCACTTATCTCGTATTCCCGGTTTATTGAGTAATTTTTCTGTATCTGCATGTCGCAGCAGTAGTGGAAATTCAATGTTGCCACGACAACCTGCACCGAAAATCGACGCTTGTTTATTTTTCTCGACGGAATTACTGAGAATTTGTGACGTAAAAAGTGTTGTTTTGTTGACTTCCCATTCTGTGGATTACTGGCCGGTTTCGTGGGTTCTCAAGTTGATGCTAGTGCACAACATTCGAATGATGCATTTTGATGGACTTAAATTAATAAAAGACAAAAACACATTAGATTATCTGATCTGGAATGCATATGACACAAATAGAATGCAAAATTATCTTTTAATTATGGACGATCCTCAAACGGTGATCGAAAGTATTCAGCGTGTGTTGGAAGCCACAAAACGCGGACCAGGAGCACTGATGCCTCATCAAATGCGCATTCTGATCATAGCGCCAGAGAGCGTGAAAGATAAGCTGTTGGAAACACTGACTAAGACATCTATTGACAATGTTGCTGTAGCTTTGACCTGTGAGATGTATTGCTGCTTTCAGAATATCTACACATTAATGTGGAGAAATAATAGAGGGAGAGAATTCAGTGAAATCAAAGACTCGGATTTCTTTAACATTAATGGCTATGGCAAAAACTGTCGGATTTTCCCGAATAAAAAACTTGCCATGAATGGAAGACCATTGGTGATCCTCGCAAAAGAATGGCTTTCACATTTGTATAAGAAAGTTGATCAATCTTCGGGAAAATTGCAGTACGCTGGGTTGTACGTGGACATAATCGAGACGATGTCAAAGTTTCTCAACTTTTCTTACACCTTCACCCCCGAACCAGGGGAGGATGACAATATCACGTGGGAAGACTTTGCCAATCTCGTCGGTGGATCTCACGTGGATCTAGGGGCGTCCACTTACATAAGTAACTCCATGCTGTATTACAATCACACGGTTACCTACCCTTTGTTGTGGAGCAACGTCAGTGGCGTTTACCTCAATAAGCAGAGTGGTGGAGTCAGGTTCCCCTTGTGGCTTTTCAAGCCTGAGGTTTACATTGCCTTGCTCTGCGCACTGGTCTTGACAATGTTCTTGTTTTTACTTCTGGTTCGTCTATCTCCCAGAGAGCGCATGGCTGAAATTCCGAGGGAAAATGAACCTGGGCAAAGAAAATTTGGTGGACAAAAGAAAGATTCTCAAACGAGATCACGCGGTGCTCTTGTAAGGAGCGTTGGTACACAAACCCCGAAAAACTTTTCCTGCACATATTGCAAAGAAAAATTCGAGAAAATTTACAACCGATCTAAATATTTATATTTTGTTCCTCGGAATATGGATTTTGCATCCGGTTCTTCTAGAAACTGTACAGTTAACCAAACCTATGGAATGTGGACCAAGGTTGATGGAAACGCTGAAAAAAGAAGAAATAAATCTAACCATTCATTTTCTATAAAACAATTGGAATGTCTACCAGTCGGAGATAACATCTGCTTGCAGAGTAAGTACAGATTAATGGATGACCTCGTGGGGATCTTCTTTACATTTGTTGGGTCCATATTCAGCCAGGACAGCGTTCCATGTCCCAATCATCTTTCGCCACGCTTGCTGCTGTGGTCTTGGTGCCTTATGGTGCTCGTCCTGACGGCAACCTTCACGGGAAACATAACAGCAGACCTCGTGGGTCACCAAGACAGCGCCCCCTTCACAACGTTTGAGGAACTTTTGAGAAGGGAAGATTACAAATGGGGTCTTTTCGGAGAGTCGTCATTCTTTAATGTCATGAAGAACGCGAAAGATGGCACAACGCTGAAAAGACTTTACGATGGAATGATTCACTTTTCTCAAACAGACCCGACTGTCGTGGGAACGTTTGAACAACAGATCACCAAATTGAAAACGGAAAAGTTCGTCACGTTTTTCTTCAGTGGCGACTTGGAATATTTAAAAGAACGCAGTGAAGATATGTCCAGTCTCGTAATTATTACAGACCATTTGATGACCATCAACATGGGATTTGTTTGTCCGAAGACTTCAAAACTCTCGGAGCTCATTTCAGAGGAGCTGCTGCGCATGACGGAATCTGGAGTCTTGGGTCATCTATTGCGTAAGAAAAGCAGTTCAACTAATAAAGACAGAGGTGTCGCCGAGGGAAGGCAGGAGGGCTCACGCCTGGATGTCAAGTACCTCAAGGGCTTGTTTTATTGTTGCGGCTGCGGTGTGCTCTTGGCATTTTTTATTTTAATTTTAGAAATTGCGTACATGAAAATGTGTCACTTTGTCACGAAACTAAATTGTAGTTGCTGCCAATTCTAGGGTTTTCTTGCTTGTTCCAGTATCTTAATTTTTTGTCTATTCAATATTTCATTACATTAAGTATATTAAAGACTTAATTATAATAATAATAAAGCTTATTTTAAAATCATGTTTCATCCCCAAAGGCTCGAAGTGCGGATCAAAGTCATCCATATTAAAAGAGAAATGAAATAATCTATATTTTACCACATTGAAATACACAACGCAACATTACAAAAACTACATACGAGAATACCCATTCTAGGTCTTTTTTTTCCTTGAAACCATAAACAACACAGGCCACCATACATCTAGGAGATGATAGTTAGCTGGAAAAGATGGTAGACAACATCACCTCAACAGGTGTTTTCGAAATAGATATGTTTTCAAATCGATTTCGAAAGACTCCAGTGTCTGAGAGCGATACAAAGTGTTTTTGAAATTGTTGGGCCAGCAAATGCGAAAGTGTGCCTTTTGTAAGTCTCAAGGCGAGCACACGGTATCGATATTTTGCCACTATCGGATGAGCGGAGTTGTCTAGTTGGTACATAAGGCGTCATTAGTACTTTGAGATAGGACGGTGCCAGGTCATGCAAGTAGCGGTAGCACAGACTTCCAATATTGTACTCTATGCGACTACAAACCGGCAGCCAATGCAACTCTCTCGTAATTGTTTTAGCAAGGTCAAATTTGCGTTTGCGAAAAACAATGAGAGTGGCATTATTCTTTCCTTTTTGAATTTTATCTAGGAGCGTAGCTGGAAGACCCACCATGAGAGCATTGCAGTAGTCCATGGGTTGATAGCACGAATGCATACATCAGCCTCTTGGTGGCATCAAACGATTTGACTAATTCTGGGCAACTCTTAGCAAACGTGCCTAGCAAACAATGTTAATGTACTTTTCCATAGATAGTTTTCTGTCTAAATAGACACCCAGGTTTCGCGCTGTTTGAGCAAATTTAATATGTATACCTGAGAGAGAAAGGTGTAGTGGGTTATTTACAGATTTTATCTTTTGATCGGTCGTAGAAGTTGAAACGTCCAACTAGTGTTATCTGGACAATCAATATTTTAAAATTTTGGCAAACTTTGAGAGATTTTTAAAAAAAAACAAAAAACATATGACATCATAAGAAGTGTTGGGAAGATGTGTATGTTCTCTATCAGTACCACATGCAGTGTAAAGATTAACTGGAGGATATGAGAAACGTATTTTTTAATAATAAACATAGTGCAAGAACGAACAAAATAAAAAAAATATATATAACATGCTTGTCTTGATATCTGTATATTATATGTTTAATAATAACTAAGTTGTTGATATTTGATTTATATAATATATATATATAATATATAATATATTACCGTTTGGTAATAATTTTCATTTTTAACTAATGATAATTGTTAATAATAAATAAAGGTTCCGGTTATAGTTTAATCAGAATTTCCTTTCTTACATGCCTATCCAAATCCTTATTGTAGTAACGCGCTGTTGTTTGTTCTCCATGGTGAGGTGTCGGTCATTATGAGTCATGGTGGGGAATGTTTTTCGATGCAGGTATTTCTGAGATTGTGGAGTGGGGAAGAATGCATTTCAGGTCATAGGAAATTTCTGAATCCTGAAATCTGTATTGTTCAAGGAAAGTGTTTGGGATGTGAAAAGGCTAAATGAGACGGCGCATGTTGTTGTGCGTTCCATCTGAAATTAACCGAGACACACTTATAGATTATTATTCACAAGATGGAAGCACCCTGCGCGGGGACTTACAGTGCTGCAACTGAAACCGATTCAGACATGTGTCTGCTTGTTCAACAAGGATAGGGCCTTCAATATCGACTTTCACAAGGACGCTCTGAAAGATTCGTATGTTGGCAACTTGGCAACCGTGACGCAAGATATTCTATGACATTACTTAATTTTCTGCTGACATTTCACACATTTTCAATAAATTCTTAATATATATTTTTTAAATTCAAATTCTAGTAACTGTACTTTTCTTTGCATCTTCCAATAAGTACGTGAAGGCATTCTTCCTTCTTCTGTTAATCATTAAACTGTTCCAACATTGCAAGATTTTATGCATAAGCAAAGCTGTTTTTTTTACTTATAACCTAAATCTTTATAATTCAAATTCTATGAACTGTGGTGTTCATTGTAGCTCTTAATAGGCATGTGAAGAAATTGTTCCTTCTCCTGTAAATCATTAAACTGTTCCAACATTGCCACTTTTAATATACAAACATGCCTAGTATTTACTTACAAACATCATTGTTGTTAATGTTGAAATATTCGTGTTGATCTTGTACTCACAATGCTTGTTTCTATATCCATTCAGGTTGTGTCTATGTGTACAAATAGCATGTGTCAATTTACAAACATAATTTCTTTTTCCAGTGGCGTCGCTAGGATAAGTGCGGCAAGGGACGGACCGACAACTTAGTCACATTTTCCCTAACAAATAATTGCAGCTGGCTGACATCGCGAGACATTTAGAAAAAGAAAAGAGAAACTGTAGCACCCATCCCAATCTCACCTCCTGCGCCACTGATTGCGTCTGTATACAAATTTCCCTGTGTCTATATACAAACATTCCCCTTTCCTCACTCCGTGCCTAACCTGGAAGGTCGTCTGTTTGTTTTAGTCTCACTTTCTTCCACTTAAGAAATTGATCGCCAGAAGAAGGTCGTGGGGGGGGGGGGCGGATGGGCTGAAGACTAAACTCCTGGTGTATTCCAACAGTCTTGATTGCATATTTGAAAGGCTTTCAAAGGTTAAAAGCCGCTGTTAAGAACAAAGAAATGTTGCTAATGAATACTTATTAGCATATGCGATACTTTGCCGTGCACCGAGGCTCTAGGAATACGGGAATCAGTATTACAGCGGCCAATGGGTTGTGTCTTTTAAAATCTTTTTTTTTAACTTCGATTTTGTTCCTGGATGGCTAGCTGGTTGGCGGGCTGGCTGGTTGGCTGGGAAGCGGACTGAAAAAAATCAATGGACGGCTTTTTGGCCCACTTCCCGTCCACCCAGGGGAAGATGAAGCAATTATGATGACACTGATTCGGCGAAATAACATTTTCCGATGACTGCGAGGAATGAGATTCTTTAAAAAATAATGACCGAAGGTTCGTTTGGTGCCTAATATTTTCATTTCTTTTTCTGAAAAAGGTTGGTGTAACAAATCTGCGGTTGAATATCGGGGGCCAGGGATGGGTGGGTTGGCCACTCTTTGGGATTCTTAAAATGTGCGTTACTTGAATTTTTAAAAGGGAATTATCTTTAAAAAAATGTGTTTTTATTATTTTTTTAAGTATGTCATATTTTATGGTCAGAAATCTAAAAAATACAGCATAAACGTTTAAAATTTTCAAACTGAAAAACTGCATGCAATACTTTTTTACATTTATTAATTTAGTACATAGATGACCAACTCAAGACATGGATGACCAACTCAAGACATGGATGACCAAAGCACGACACGAATAACCAACCCATGGCATGAATGACCAACCCAAGGCTTGGATGACCAACCCAAGTCATGGATGACCAACCCAAGGCTTGGATGACCAACCCAAGTCATGGATGATCCACCCCTAGTCATTGATGAACACCTCACATGTTATGAATGACCAACCCATGACATGGTTGAGCAACCAGAGGTCCCAACCCCCCCCCCCTTTCCCCCCGCCGCTTCCATCACTTCACGTTAAATGTTGCTGTCCGCTGTCTCTAGCACAAATGAAGTTCATCATTCAATCGATTGGCGTCTCTTTTCATTATTGATATAAACAGACAATTAAAATAATCAATTCTGTTTTCTTCACGTGATACATGCCAACTCAATGTATACCCAAAAGTGTGTAACGGGCAACTGGAGGCGGTATCAACAGGGAATTATTTGCATCAAGAATAAATCAATAATTTTGCACATTTGGTTATGTTCGTGTGCTTAAATTGTTGTGTGTAATGATCAGAAGGACTCATTAAGGCACTTTGTGGGTTGTCCTTACCCTGTTGTTAGTACAACATGCTTCTCTTTACGGCCAAGCCTTAAAGACATTTGACATATACCTTAATTATGGAAATCACAATCGAAACGGATCTGCATTGATAACAAGTAAAAATTACAAAAAAACAAAAAAAAACCACAAACGTTGTTAGGTATTTCAAATTGGTGGCAAGAAATAGCAGGACAAATGATTTATTTCGAAAACAAAGAGAATTATTAGCTTACAGAAAATGTATGTTCTGGGTCTTCCGGGTATTGAATAGCCTTGGCAGTTAATGTTCTAGGCCCATAATAAAGTAGGCAGCGAATGTTCTTGGTTTGAATTATCTGAGGTGATGAATGTTCTGAGTGCAAAATATACTAGGCAGAGAATGTTCTAAGTACTGAATTTCCAAGGCAGAGAATGTTCTAAGTACTGAATATTCTAGGCAGCGAATGTTCTAAGTACTGAATATCCTAGGCAGAGAATGTTCTAAGTACTGAATATTCTAGGCAGCGAATGTTCTAAGTACTGAATATTCTAGGCAGCGAATGTTCTAAGTACTGAATATTCTAGGCGCCGAATGTTCTAAGTACTGGATATTCTAGGAAGCGAATGTTCTAAGTACTAGATATTATAGGCAGCGAATGTTAAAGCTGCTGAAAACTCTTGGCATTAAATGTAATAAGTACTAAATGTCTCAGAATGAATGTAATAGTTTTGCTTCTCAGAATGTTAGGACAGCGGCCATGACCAGAATTATCAGGTAAAAAAATGAGAAATGAACTAAATTAAACAAAACCTTAAAACACACTTTTAAATTTCGGATGCGGTAATATCTGGAATAATAATCCATGTACGTTTGCCCAGTGAACTGAAACAATATTTGGAATTCTTTTCCTTATTAAGGGAAAGAAACGCATAAATTAGAGTGATCCTGGTTAATGATGCGCTCTTCAACTCCGAA